ATGGAACCACCGAGTCAGGAACTGCCGGGACAGCGGCATCGCGGGAACGCCGGCACCCGGAAATCCTGGAGGCGCGGGATCGCTCGGGCTGGAGCGGCCCCCCGAGCCCCCCGGCGCCGGGCGATCGCGGCGGGACTCACCCGAGGATCTGGCGCAGGTTCCCGGAGAGGCGGGAGGATCCCAGGTTGAGCTCGCGGAGGCCGGGCAGCATTCCCAGCTGCCCGGCCAGGCAGCGGATCCCGACGGCCGATTCCGGCGTCGGGCGCCGCACGTCCACGTTGCTGTACTGCAGCTTGAGGCTGCGCAGCTGCGGGAAGCGCGAGAGGTGCGGCAGGATCACCGAGAGCCCGGCCAGGCCCAGGTTGTTGAAGCGCAGATCCACGCGCCGCAGGAACGCCGGATCCAGGGATTCCAGCAGGCTGACGATGCCGGCCAGGGAGAGTTTCTCCGCCTGCAGCTCGCGGCACTTGAGGCGCAGCGGGCCGGCGGCGCCGCTCCGGAGGGCGTCGCGCACCAGCCCGAAGGACGTCCCGTTGACGAAGAGGTCGGCGTGGACGTCCACGCCCGGCGGCGACGGCGCGGCGGCGGCGGCGGCGGCGGAACGGCCTTTGTGCCGCTTGGATCCGCGGCGTTGGAATTCCCGCTGGTGCTTGGAGAGCTCCAGGCAAGCCTTGGCCAAAGCCACCGTGCTGGACCAGACGCTCATCCCGGGCGGAGCGCGGCCCGGCGCCGAGTCCGGGAATCCGGTCAGGTCCAGCACGCGGAGGCGAAAGGAGCTGGGGAAGAGTCAAAAGTGGGGAGGAAGGATAAAAGATGGGAGGAAACGGTCAAAAATGGGAAGAAAACATCAAAAATGGAAAAAGGAAACATCAAAAATGGGAGGAAAGCATGAAAAATGGGAGGAAAGCGTGAAAAATGGGAGGAAAACGTCAAAAATGGAAAAAGGAAACATCAAAAATGGGAGGAAACCGTGAAAAATGGGAGGAAAGCATCACAAATGGGAAGAAAACGTCAAAAATGGAAAAAGGAAACATCAAAAATGGGAGGAAAGCATCAAAAATGGGAGGAAAGCATCCAAAATGGGAGGAAACCATGAAAAATGGGAGGAAAGCATCACAAATGGGAAGAAAACGTCAAAAACGGAAAAAGGAAACATCAAAAATGGGAGGAAAGCATCAAAAATGGGAAGAAAGCATTAAAGCCACAAAGAAACCATGGAAAAATGGAGGAAACCATCAAAAGTGGGAAGAAAGCATCAAAAATGAGAATGAACCATCAAAAATGGGAGGCAAGCATCAAAAATGGGAGGAAACCATGAAATAATGGGAGGAAATCATTAAAGCCAGAAAGAAACCATGGAAAAATGGAGGAAACCATCAAAAGTGGGAAGAAAGCATCAAAAATGAGAAGAAAACTTCAAAACTGAGAAGGCACCATCAAAAACGGGAGGAAGCCATGAAAGATGGGGAGAAACCATCAAAGACAGGAGGAAACCACCAAAACCAAGAAGAAACCATCAAAAATTGGAGGAAAGCATCAAAAATGGGAGGAAACCATGAAAAACAGGAAGGAGCCATCAAAAACATGAAGGAACGTCAAAAATGGGAAGAAACCATCAAAACCAAGAGGAAACCATCGAAAACAAGGAGGAACCATGAAAACTAAGAAGGAACCATCAAAAACGGGGGGAAACAACAGAAGATGGGGAGAAACCATCAAAGACGCGAGGAAACCATCAAAAATGGGAGGAAACCATGAAAAATGGGAGGAAATCATTAAAGCCAAAAAGAAACCGTGGAAAAATGGGGGAAACCATCAAAAGTGGGAAGAAAGCATCAAAAATGGGAGGAACCCATCAAAATTAAGAAGAAACCATCAAAAACTGGAAGATACCACAAAAATGGGAAGGAACCATCAAAAACAGGAGGAAACCATAAAAAACTGCATGGAACCAACAAAAATGGGGGGAAACCATGAAAGATGGGGAGAAACCATCAAAGACGGGATGAAACCATCAAAAATGGGAAGAAACTATGAAAGACAGGAGGAAAACATCAAAAACGGGAAGAAACTATCAAAAATGAGAAGAAACTATTAAAAATGGAAGAAAACTTCAAAAATGAGAAAGAACCATCAAAAACAGGAGGAAGCCATGAAAGATGGGGAGAAACCGTCAAAGACAGGAGGAAACCACCAAAACCAAGAAGAAACCATCAAAAATTAGAAGAAACCATCAAAAATTGGAGGAAAGCATCAAAAATGGGAGGAAACCATGAAAAACAGGAAGGAACCATCAAAAATGAGAAGGAACCAACAAAACATGAAGGAACCATCAGAAATGGGATGAAACCATCAAAGACGGGTGGAAAGCATTGAAAACGAGAAGGAACCATCAAAACTAAGAAGAAACCACCAAAAATAGGAAGAACCAATCAAAGACAAAAACAGGAAGGAACCATCAAAAATGGGAAGAATCCATCGGAAACAAGAAGGAACCATCAAAAGTTGGAAGAAACCATCAAAACCAAGAAGAAACCATCAAAGACAGGAGGAAACCGTGAAGAATGGGATGAAACCATCAAAACCAAGAAGGAACCACGAGAAACATGTAGGAACCATCAAAAATGGGAAGAAACCATCAAAGACGGGTGGAAACCATCAAAAACGAGAAGAAGCTGTCAAAAGCTGGAAGAAACCATCCAAACCAAGAAGAATCCATCAAAAATGGGAAAGAACCATGGAAAATTGGAAGGAATCATCAAAACCAAGAAGGAACCACCAAAAACAGGGAGGAACCATGAAAACTAAGAAGGAACCATCAAAGACAGGAGGAAACCATGAAAAATGGGACGAAACCATCAAAACCAAGAAGGAACCATCAAAGATGGGAAGGAACCGTCAAAAATGGTGAGAAACCACCAAAACCAAGAAGGATCCATCGAAAACAAGAAGGAACCATCAAAAGTTGGAAGAAGTCATCAAAGCCAAGAAGGAACCACCAAAGATGAGAAGACACCACCAAACCCAAGAAGCTCCCCCAACCCCTCGCCCGTGGCAGAACCCACCTGGAGCGGCGGCCGGGCTCCTCCAGCTGCCGGCGCAGCGTGGCCACCAGGGCCAGGACGAGGGCCTGGAGGNAGAACCCACCTGGAGCGGCGGCCGGGCTCCTCCAGCTGCCGGCGCAGCGTGGCCACCAGGGCCAGGACGAGGGCCTGGAGGCAGAGCTTGCAGGGTTGGTCCCTCAGCAGGTGGTGGTGGCCCAGCAGGCGCCGCAGGTGCAGCGCCGGGAAGGGCCAGGAGCTCACGAGGTCCACCAGGAGCGGCGCCCGGGCGGCGGCGGCGGCGGCGGCCAGGAGCGCCGGGAAGAGCGCCGGCGGCAGCGGCGGCAGCGGGCGGCGGGCGGCCACGCGGCGGGCGCACAGGAACACCAGCGACTCCATGGCCGCGGGCACGGAGGGTTTGGGAAAGTTTGGGGGGGTTTGGGGGGGTTTTGGGGATTTTTGGGGATTTTATGAGGGATTTTATTGGGGTTTTTTGGGGATTTTATTGGGGTTTTTTGGGGATTTTTGGGGATTTTATTGGGTTTTTTTGGGGATTTTATGAGAGATTTATTGGGGTTTTTAGGGATTTTTGGGGATTTTATTGGGGTTTTTTGGGGACTTTTGGGGATTTTATGAGGGATTTTATTGGGGTTTTTTGGGGTTCTATGGGGATTTTTTGTGGATTTTATTGGGGTTTTGGGGGATTTTATGAGGGATTTTATTGGGGTTTTTTGGGGTT